GACAGACACAGAGGCGATGGCATAAGCCCGCTTATATAGCTTTTAAGCAAAAGAGCGGGCTAAAAACGGGACCAGAATGGGATAAATGCGAAGGTATCTTTCAACACATGCGTGAAGTACAAGCCACCGAGTGAATGACAGTTTTCTCAGCTTTCCATATTTCGCCTGGTGAAATTCTCGGAACTCTTCTGATTGGGCGCACAAACATATGATACATCTTGCATTAATTTCTTGCAATTGCTGGATGACTTAATGCACCCATGGGTGGCAACGAGGTGCGCTGAATGGCAGATGCAATTGATTAGGACGGCGCATGGCGCGTCGGTGCGTAGCCTCGTCCAGAAGGAGGTATTCCGCCCAACCATGGTGTTACTATTGTCGGACGCCATACCTATACAATTCTTGACGGGAATTCCATGCTCATCTAGACATGCTTTGAATGCCTCATACAAACTTTCAGCCGAGCAGTCTTTTGCATCAAGTTCCAACAACTTTTAAGCAGGTCAGTACGAAATGAGGGTCGGGACCCGTCTTCGACGTAGTACTTGATGAGGATGCAGAAGTTTTTTTTTCATTCCTATATCAGTGGATTCATCAACAAGTATGGCAAATGGGTTGTCATTCTGCAAATTAGAAACGGTCTCCTCCGTTTCTGTGGCCCCGATTACCCTGTTAACTATGGCAGTGCATTTTGTCCGATCCATTTTTACATCCTTCATTATTTTTGAGTCCGGGAGTCTTTTTTTTAACATATCAACCAAATGGTCTGCCGTCATCAAAGCCACGTTGTGGTCGGCAAAGAAAGCCGCTGTTCCGATTTCTGCCGTTTTGACTGCCTTTTTAGCCCACCCTTCTGCTTTGAAAAAGCTTTCCAGCGGGCTTATGCAAACGACCTCGTGTCTGTCTGTCTGTGTGTCTGTCTGTCTGTGTGTCTGTCTGTCTGTGTGTCTGTCTGTTCCACAAGAAGGAGATGTGCAAGAGACTTCAAATTTTCAGGGGATCTCAAGGTTCACTCCCACAAAACAAAACGCCTACGGCAAATCCTGCCAGCCACCCCTAAGGGGCTGAAAGTGGGTATCAAAGAAAACAGGAAAGGCCAAAAAAGTTGGAAGAAATATTTTTTTTTATGATCTCCTGAGGGGAAACTTGTGAAAGTAGAGCCCTGTGGGCAAAAATTTCGTCCGTTTTGCTCTATCTCTAACCGTTCACGCGCTTAAGGGTCTTCTTAGACGAAAATAAGCTAAAAATTGCCATAGTGAACAATAAGATGTAGAAAAAGGCCTAAAAACCGCAAAATGGAAAGTAAACTCTCCCCTAACCCCCCAAAAACGTTTTCTAAGCAGAAGGGTGGTTTGTAGTCGCGGTGCTTCACCGTTACATCCCTCTCTCGAGTCTTTAGGGAAAACTCAAAGATGACGGGTTGAAGCGGGCCGAAGGCGCGCTACATCAGTCTTTGCATCATGTTCTTCAGCAAATCGCGTGACAGAAATGGTCGGGCCGCAGGCCCGACCCAGGGGTATGCAACGCCAGCCGCGGGGCTGAGGCGATGCTCCGTCACGGGCGCTCGGCCCGGCCGCGCGCTGCAGAGGACGAATTCTGCGATTTGTGCAAGACTTTGAGTGTAACGTTACCAAACCACCCATACCACTGCACGCTACAGATTGTCCTCTTTCTTCTCATACCACACTTTTCTTGAAATAACTCGTAATTGTTAAGTATTCGCAAAAGAACGGAATGGAGTGACGTCGGGGCCGACTGGACCGCTGACTTTGGCAAGTTAATGTGGGAGAACCACTCCACTTACCGGAAAAACACAACAACCTATGGCAAGGTGGAACTATAACGAAGGTCCATTGTAAGTGGCGTCTTGATCTGAGTTCTTGATCAATCACAATAACAATTTCTTTCCAAACAGAGCTGAGTGCGGCCCGGGCGGGACGAGTCGAGAGGCCGAGCCGAGCGGACCCGCCCGAAGCTCGCCCCGCTCAGCGCGACGATGACGTCACGAGCCTACTTCTCTCGTTTCTCTCGTTCGGTTTGTTTGGTGTTTTGATCAACACAATTCCGAGTTGGTCACCTGGTATCTGGGATTCCACCTGTTATTTGAGGCGGTGTGGCGCGCCAAACGGCCATCTTCACCCGATATCTGTTTCTATCAACAACAAAACTACTCCGGATTAATCGGTGAGTTACAATTTCGAACGACTCATGTTTTGTCACTGTAGGTTATGGTAGCATATTCCCCCTGTGGATTATTTGACTGCAATTAATTAAAATGCGAGGGTATAGAAAAGAACCCGCATTGTTTCTTGATTTCGGGGGAGGACAACATGATGTTCATGCGCTTATTTGGGTCTGATGTTCGTGGAAGGCTTGTTAAGGCATATCTAACTTCTATTTTGTTTTCTCACACAGGCTGCAATGAGTACAGAGGAGGATTTCTTTGATGATGTTGGGCCGTCTGATGTCAGGGTCGACCCTACGCCTCCCTCAGATCAATCCACTCCACTGGAGCTAAGCGATGTGACTGGTGCTGCAGAGAGCGTTGGCCCACAGGACTGTCAAGAAGGACCTCGTGCTGGCCATGTTTGTCATGTCTGCCTAAAGAGTTTAAGCTCTAAATCTTCCTTAAGGAGACATCTTATCCTTCACAAACTAAATGGTATGCAATTGTTTTCTATATTTGTACTAATAGATTGTGTATTTTTTGGACAAGAATTTTAACTCTTCTTTGTTTTATAATAGATATAAATGCCCGTAAGCCACTAGAGGATGAATTGAAGAGGGTTTCCTCTTCTTTATTTCAAGATATTATAGAAGAAATAAAAAAAGAGCCATCTGTTGGAGAAATGGGAAGATTAAAGCAGAAGTTTGTTACAGAAGTTGACTTGTCATCAGATACTGCCACTGATTTAATTGAAGCTATCACTTCTGTTACTATAGACATAGTAGACATAGTAGACAAAAAATAAGGTAATGCCTTCTGTTTACTTAGAAGAAGCTCTCTTAAAATTAAACCATTTGTTGTGCGATGGTTCATTTTGTGATAGTATTAAGAGTAAACTTACCCACCTATTTAATCTGTCATCTGAATTTGAACTGCCTGAAGTTGTTGATATGGTTTATCAAAGATTAGTTTGGAGAATATGCACAAAAATGTTGTACAAGCTGCAAGAACAAGTGTTCTTTCTAATGAAGAGAAACCATCAGGCAGCCCACAAAGAATATAAAATGAGTGATAGTGAAGTTATAATATTTAGGAAGCATATAGGAACACTCTTAAGATCGGTATATAGTATGGGTTGTAGCAGTAAAAATAATGTGTGGCAATTAAGATGTAGAACACTTCGGGAAAGGTTTGTCGAGTCAGTTTCTACTCTTACTAATAAAATGTTTCTTGATGTGAAACTTTGGGTGTCAGGGGACATTGTCCTCACTGAAACAGCTCTTAGCATGTTTCTTGGAATTGAAAAAATTATTCAGAGCCTTCAAGATAAGGGTACCATGCTTGGCAAGCAATATTTTTGATGATCTGACTAATGCTGAGAACCTTATTTTATTAGAAAAGTTACGCACTTTATCTAGAGGCATATTAGCTGAAGATCTTGCTCTTGATTTTATAAATGATTTAGTTCAATGCTACTCAGTAGTTTCAGGTAGACTTCATGCCAAACTAAAAGTGCAACAAATATCTGGTAAGGAGATAAATATAGCAACTACCAGAGACAATTTGAAAAGAAATCCAACAAATCCAAAGAAGATTCAGGAATCTGTTGGCGATAAAGCAAAGAGTTCTGAAGTGGACTCCCCAGTAGGGCGTTCCATTTTAAAGTCGGTATGCCAGAACGCAGGTAAAATGAAAGTATACGTTGTGGAGGTTACAACAATGCTAAGCGGAGGTTGCTGCGATGTCGGGAACCATGCGCAAGAACGAATTTTATGTCTTTGTCACTTTCGCGCCAAAAAAAAGAATACGTTTGCAAATAAGGAAGGTTACTTATGCATTAAAAAAAAAAAAAATACTTGCAACACCTCAATATAACTATGCAAAATGATTCAAAATAAATTGTAAACAAAAGATAAGAAATTTTACCTCTTGCCCCACCTCCTCATAATCTGTAGGCTCAGAGAAGGTAGTTTCTGCACGAGATGTGCATCTTTCATTATCGTCATCATCATTATTAATATCAGTAGAAGTTAATTCAAAATTTTCGGTCACAATTTCAATAAATACCTGTTAAAGTAACAAAGATTTTTAGGATTGATAGATAAAAACAATGACACAGAAAAACAACAAATAAAAGATTATCCCATTACCTCCTCTTCCTCTTCCTCCTCCTCCTCCTCCTACTCCTCCTGAGATTGACCTTGAGTTCGATCGTGATTTTGATCCTGATCCTGATCCTTCTCCTTCTCTTGCCCGTCACCAAGCTCCAGCTCTAGATTCTCCTCCGCCTGCTGTTCTGCGGTATCTCCAGGCAAAGCAGAAAATTGTGCTCTTCTAGCTCGCTTCTTTTGCTTTAGATATCCTTTCTTAAAGCCTCCCCTTTTGGCCCTCTTTCTTACTTTTCTAAAAGATGCCTACAGAAGGGAAAGCAAAAAAGTAGTGCAAAGTTCTCAATCAAAGCCATTGTGTTGGCACAATAATAAGAGTACATTAAACATCTTACCCCTGAAGTTCCGAGCACGCTAGTTCCCCTGATGTGTGGGATTCTAATTGCCCTGAAGTTTCTGAGCTCGCTAGTTCCCCTGAAGTGTGGGATTCTAATTGGCCAGGAGAAATATTCACTTCTTGGCACGCTGGTTCAGAATCAGACAAACTATCGACTTGAGCCGAATCTTTATCGTATGTTCCAAGGAGATCAACTAAGTCATCATCAGATAGGGAGCAAATTGAAATGGAGTCATCCGATTCAAGCATTTTCTGTGTAACAACAAAGACATGGATATAAGAGTGACATCAATTGAACTATAAAAACAGAATAATATGATTTGCTTACCTCAGGATTGTTGCCTTTGGTGGTACAGCACCAGTTGCCATGTCACTTGGATCCAGAGTCAATTGATTGGAGGGAGGTGTAGGGTGGTCAGGGGGATCAACGTCATCAAAAAATTCCTCTGCACTCATTGCAGCCTAAATGTGAAAACAAAATAGAAGTTAGATATGCCTTAACAAGCCTTCCACGAACATCAGACCCAAATAAGCGCATGAACAACATGTTGTCCTCCCCCAAAATCAAGAAACAATGCGGGTTCTTTTCTATACCCTCGCATTTTAATTAATTGCAGCCAAATAATCCACAGGGGGAATATGCTACCATAACCTACAGTGACAAAACATGAGTCGTTCGAAATTGTAACTCACCGATTAATCCGGAATAGTTTTGTTGTTGAAAGAAACAGATATCGGGTGAAGATGGTCGTTTGGCGCGCCGCACCGCCTCAAATAACAGGTGGAATCCCAGATACCAGGTGACCAACTCGGAATTGTGTTGATCAAAACACCAAACAAACCGAACGAGAGAAACGGGAGAAGTAGGCGCGTGACGTCATCGTCGCGCTGAGCGGGGCGAGCTTCGGGCGGGTCCGCTCGGCTCGCGCTCGGCTCGGCGTTCGGGTCCCGGCTCGGCTCGGCCTCTCGACTCGTCACGCCCGGGCCGCACTCAGCTCCGTTTGGAAAGAAATTGTTATTGTGATTGATCAAGAACTCAGATCAAGACGCCACTTACAATGGACCTTCGTTATAGTTCCACCTTGCCATAGGTTGTTGTGTTTTTCCGGTAAGTGGATTGGTTCTCCCACATTAACTTGCCAAAGTCAGCGGTCCAGTCGGCCCCGACGTCACTCCATTCCGTTCTTTTGCGAATACTTAACAATTACGAGTTATTTCAAGAAAAGTGTGGTATGAGAAGAAAGAGGACAATCTGTAGCGTGCAGTGGTATGGTTGGTTTGGTAACGTTACACTCAAAGTTTTGCACAAATCGCAAAATTCGTCCTCCGCAGCGCGCGGCCGGGCCGAGCGCCCGTGACGGAGCATCGCCTCAGCCCCGCGGCTGGCGTTGCATGCATACCCCTGCCCGACCATCGCCGCCGGCAGGCCAAGTAGGCCCGGCCCCTGCCGAACGGAGTTGCCGGCGGAGCGAAGCGGAGCTGGCAACTTCGTTTGGCGGAAGGGCGGGCCTGCTTGTTATGATTAGCATCAGAACCCTGGCTCTGGCTCAAACATGCATCGATGGTTGGTATTCCCTGGAGAGCTTTGACTTTTTGTTGGTGCTTAAAACCGGTAGCATGTTTCTCCAATTTACTATGCCCACTTTGAAGAACTTTGTTGCAGGCAATGCATTTCGCAGCATAGATATTTTTTTTCACAGGCTTTAACCAGCCCTTGAATGCTGGTTCGTTACACCAACTAACCTTGAATGGCTTGCTTGGTGACGGGTCGGGGGTCTCTTTACTTTTCTTCTTCGCATCCCCTCCTCTCCTTTTCCTTTTGTACTCTGGGGTTCTATCCCTAGCCCAGCTTTTCCTCTTCCCGCTTGCCGCTACCTCTTCTGCCTCTGCCTCTTCAACTTCGTCGTCGTCAAATTCAAACACAGGGTCATCCTCAGCTTGCTCATCAAGAATTTCGTCCACATTCATTGTATTAGCCTGCAAAACACGAACACGCCATAGGTTAGGTTAACAAAGTTATCGATAGAGTTAATTCTACCAACGCCTCTGGTCTCTTTGTGTAATTGCAAATGTTATAAAATGTAAATAGAATACTTACCACAGTATCGGTCGGTTTCAAATTACAAGTTTGCTGGCGGTTAAGAGTATGTGAATCATCTGGCTTCTTTACACACCAAAACACAACCACTGCTACTGGCTCCAACCCATTTCCGCACTGAAACGCTTTCATACTTACAGCGATACAGTACCAACAACATACGAATGTAACGCTTTCGACCAGAACGACGTGTAACACTTGAAAACTAAAATACCGAACATTTTGACTAAATTTAGCCCAAATCTTAAGAATTTCCCTTTTTTCGCGTTTTTTCCCTTTTCCCCTTTGGCCTCGTAATTTCCCCGAAAAGGGGAAATTTCCCCGGATCTGGCAACTCTGAATTGGCAACATGCTTTTAACATGTGCGCCACTGACCAGGAGTTAACTGCCCTAGCACCTAATGCTATTTCCACCCGGAGCACCCAGCGAGATGCAAGGACGGCATTTCGATAGTGGTGCTATCTACCGGTGACATCCGAACTACTCAATCATGCACACTCCAAAAAAGGATACCTTAGCCTATATCACAAGCCGTGTTTGGCGCTTGGCGCTAAACCCCGTTTTAGCTAGACCTCAGAACTTTTATTGGCCATAACTAAACGTTTTGCCACGGGAACAAAGTGTGACGCATTAGACAAGTGTCTAGTGCCAGCAGCCAAAATTTTTTCTCAGTGTGGGGAAAAAAGGAATAAAGTTATTTACGAACAATACATTTTTAATAACATATGCAATACTGTCTCATGCGTACCAGACACTGGTGTGAAATGATAAGAGCGCGTCCCAGGAATCGTGACTGTATTTAGATTTTTCTTCCACTTCCTTTCCTGTTCAATGACTTCTTTTTTAATCAGAAAGAAGGAAATATTCTTATTCAGATTGGAATCTGTTACACAGAAAGCGTATACTTGCTGAGCATTTATTATTTGATTCTTTAACGGGCACCTCAAACTTTCCTTGGCCGTTCCCCTCGTCACATTACCTCCAATGCCGTCACAAGCTGACTTCCCATGTGAAGTGGCGAAGAAGCACCGAGAAGCTTTGATTCTATACATGTTTTCATTCTTGCACAACCATCAGTCACATACAAGACTTCTTTCACAAGTGAAAAATTATTTTTTATAAACAGAATGGTGAAGCCTTACTTGGGTTACATCATGTTTCACATCATCTGTGAAGAAACACATTCTTTTATGTACTAATGTACTAAGTTTTCTTCTTCATCTTGACAATAGATCACAAAGTGGATGAAGCTACCCCTTTGTTTTACCAATAAAACTTTTGAGTGGCATCTTGGACAACAGAAGGATAAATTATGCTAAAATCCATAAATATTATAGCTTTAGACTCATCCAAATTTTCCTTTTCTTGCTTGATGTAAAGGGCCTGTTGCAGGGGGTTCAGGGAGCACTCCCGGGGGTGGAGGGGAGGGGGAGGGGGCCGTTGAACGGAGTTCTCAAACGGGTGGGCGGCCTCCGCCCGGGGGCCCGGGAGCCACCGAGCGCTAGTCGCCTGGGCTCTCCGCCCGGCCCGTCTCTTCGTCAACGGGCCGGGGGTGGCCACCTGAACCGAGCCCGGAGACAGACGGTCGCTCTACAGTTAAGAGGCACCCTCAGTACACGAAGAATTCTGTTCTGGTAAGTAGATGACATTTGAAAATAAAATTTACAGTACATAGTTAAAACAAAAAATATACAAACTGATACTTACACTTCGAAACAGGAAACTTTGTTGTTCACAAAACTGAAAAGGCATTCTCGGGGCTATCTATTGACCAGACACTTGGACAACACAATGCCAAAGTGAAAGGTCAAGCAGGTGCAATTGGGTTGACGCAGGATCCCACTTCCTTGCGGAAGGTTCACTGTAGCTAGACCGGAAGTGAGTTTCATGCTTTCTCAATTGAAGGATTCAAAACCACTTTCTCAGCTCATGACACATCATGAGCAATATCCATTATTCCAGAGGGGATTTTTGGAGAATTGCATTGCCTTAAAAGACAGTTTTAGTCATTTTGGAAACCCATTTCTCGAGCAAGGCAAAGTACTGCTGGCTTTGGATACACGTGTTGCTGCAGTAGAGATCCTCCAATGGTCACGTGACTAGCACCGCCTTCCTGGGTCAGCAACAACTCCGATGAGAGCGAGTGGCTTTGAGTGGCAAATTATGAAAAGTTGGGCCTGATTAGGCACATTTCGCCTACTCTATGGACCCAAAGACAGCTCACTTTATCACTGATGACAAAACTCACAGCTCCCAGCGATTTTTGAGCATGACACTCCCCAATAATATAAAAAGTTGACACTGTGTACCGAACAATGACACACGGTGTCAGAGGTTAGGTTAGACCATTCTTTGCTGAAACCAGTTAAAAAGGCATATGGATCCAATTTCATGATTCAGAAAACGTTGTCGCCATATCTCTCTTTAACTGGGCCATGCGATCTAACATTTTATTTCGACCTTTTCAACATTTCCCCGGGCCCGCATTTGGAATCTCGCGCGGTTCGCCACGCAGTGAGCCTTGTGACGTCAGCATTGGAGGATCTCTATTCAGAAATCAGTGGACACATTGTATTCCCTTGAAACCTTAGGAGAAGACACGTATAAATTATTTATCAAAAAAAAAAAAGATTTCTTGAGAAAACAGAGTCAGTGCACAGTAAAATCAAACCACTGAAGGTACAGATATTTGAAGCTAAGGAAAAGAAGCCTACTGTTATCAACAATCTGAAATCTGACGTTCACTTATTTTCAAGACTTTTTATCGTGGCAAGGGAGCATGAAAATCATAAATTTCCTCCTGCGATCAGCACTGCTGTTGGGATGTTGACATCTGGTACGAAGTTCAGTCTTACGGAAAAGCTATAAACTCTTCCGACAACAGAAAATGTTTTTACCAACTCCTGCGACGCAATAGTGTATGATGGTGCTGCTTTGGTCCAGATGATTCGCCCTAAAAATGCAAAAACATTTGAAGAGTATTATTCAATAGATCTCAAACCATTCGTTGCTCAGGTAATAGCTTGATGTGAAAATAATTCAATAGGTAAAGCAACTTCTCTGCTCACAAATAATATTACAATAACTCAAAAAATACATTAATCTGCAACTATCAAAATTAGATGAATACTACTATTCTGAATTTGATAGAATAACGTTGTCACAAGAACTAACAAACCTTTTCAAATGCAGAGATCTAACCTAGTAACATAAATGAACTTCAGAGCTTGTATATGATCACAACTTATATCACATTAATTTCTCAAAAAATAGATCATTTCACAACCATCAAAAATTGTTACATTCTGTACTTGATTCTTAGTTAATTTAATAACTTAATCATGAAAACTTAACTAATCTTTCTCATCATTTTCAGAAAACATCACAGACATTTTAAAGATTTCATTTTTGTTCCAACTTATGAAACAAGTTAAAAATTAAAGAAATCACAAGCATCCATTGATTGGAAAAAATTAAAGGCTTTATCATTTTTACAATATTTTCTTTGAGGGGCACTCCTTGACAACGAAACGCCTGGTGCAAATCCTGGCACCCACCCCCAAGGGGGTGAAAGGGGGTAACAAAGAAATAGGGGGTAAGTCCAAAAAGTAGAAAATCAAATTTTTGTTATGGTCCCCTAAGGGGTAACTCGTGAAAGGGGAACCCTACGGACTAAAATTTCGTCCGTTTGCCTCTATCTTGCACCGTTTGGGCGCTAGAGTGTTTTTTCGACGAAAATACGGTGAAAATGACCACGTTGCACATGAAGACGTTCAAGGAGGCGTCCAATCATAAAATGTCAGAGGAAGTACTCTCCCCCCCCCCCTCAAAAAAAACCAGCACATTCTGAGTCAGACAATACCCTCCGATTTACCGTATCTATAACCGTTTAGGAGCTAGAGGTTTTTATATTGAAAACAATTGCAAAAAGTCAAGTTTTAAGATAGTTTGACAAAAAGTATACAATCTACATAGACAATCTGCGCGAGGAATTATTCCCATTAAATTTGTTGAAAATTTCTTGCATTAAAGTTGCTGTTTCAAGCCAAACAAAGCTGGGTTGCACGAGACCCCTAAAGGACAACTGTTGCACCCAAGTAGGAAGCTGGTTATTGTTTACTTCTCCTGACTTGATCAATCTAGTTGGAGTATCAAGGTTTGGAAACTCCTTTTAAAATTTGAATGCAACCCAACCCGCCAAATGTTGGAGCCCATCACCTTTCATATTTTCTTGTGTATCTGAAACAAGGAGCCCAGAAAACTTCGAATTAATTTGACGTTAAAAGGGAGACTCGTTCTTTACTGCAAGTCTTGAGCGTGTATTGTCTTAGTGTATGGAGGACCTACGCGTAAAGAAGAACAGAAGGAAGATGGCCGCCGCGGCGGGTGGTGGGGGTAGGAACATAACAAACATTCATTTGTTTAGCAGACGACTTTCGAAAAACCGCCTAGGAGACGTATTTCGCGCGCCTGATTGCTCTTTGACTCTTCGGAACGTGTTTTAACGTATTTTAAGACATTTTATTAACAAGTCGTGTGTACGTACCGTGCCGACGGGCAAAATATATCACTTTTACGTGATTTCACAATTATAAAAGCGGTTTTCAAGGTAATTAAGTGCTGTTTTGTGGCGTAAAGAACGGTTAGGATGTGTTTCTTACACTGTTTTCCACAACAATTTCAGGTTTTCGTGCCAAGTTACAATGCGAGTTTGCAAAGTTCCTAATTCCCATCACACCTCCAAAACCAATCATTGTCGTATGAAAAAGTTTCCAATTTCTAGGGAGAAATGCATTATCTGGTTGGAAGTCTGTGGTATTCAAAAAACTCCATCGAAAATACCCAGCCAATTTTATATGTGTTCTTGTCACTTTGATGGAACTAATGACATCCCTAACGTAAGTTTGAGGAATTATGTTTGAGTTACGCATTGATGAAAAGATGTTTAATTGTGTTAGTATCGGCGCAGGTCTTTGAAGACAACGACGAAGAGTTTTATGTTGATGTGTCTGTTGATCTTGAACATGACATGATCAAATATGTTGAAAGTAAGATGAACAAGGCAAATACCATGTATGAGTTTTTCAAAAGATACTTTTGTAGAGAACGTACTAATTTTAAATCTTTGCTCAATTTTAGATAACACAGAAGCCACTTCGCTTCAACTACACCCGATTTTTTTGGTGGATGATTCTCCCGATATGAATGAAAATAAAGTTGACGCTGCAAATACACCGAGTCCCAGGAAGAGGCCAATGTTCAGTACCACAGAGAACATGGAATGTACTTCAGATGCTGAATCAGAATTGGCGATGCCACTAAAAAATACTGACCGAATTTCCTTTGCTTGGTCCCCTCAAGATGTTTCTAATGTTGACAATGTGTTCATGTCAGATGCTGTAGTGAACAGTACATGCCTTGTAAGAGCTGTGAACCTTACAAAATTTCTTTAATAATGACACATCCATTCAATGAAGGATTTTAATTTGAAAACTATTCTTATTCTCAGGAAATACAAGATGAAAACAACAGCCTCTCAACAAGTTCAAATTTTCACAGCATAAGCAATGTCAGTATATTATAATAAAAACTTGCAAAATTTTCTATAAAAAGTAAGATTGTAAACACTTAATTTTCTTTTCTCAGGTAGAAGAAAGCCAAGTATTTTTTTCAGAAGAATCACAAGTAAATATGAGTAAAAGTGAACACAGCATAATCACTGTAAGTAGTATGCTATAAAACATGCAAATTTCCAATTATAGGAAAGATTGTAAAAATAGATAATTTCTTTCTTAGGTGGTCAAAGACCAAATGGAATCAAAGAAATTTCCTGAGCCTAAACGAAAGGTAGCCCGCCGTAGACTAGAGCCTCACACACAGGTAAAGTACTGTATTCACATTTTAACAACAAATCTTAGGCAACTATTAGTGACTGCGTCAGAAAGATATAGTTTAAAAACAACAACAAAAAATTAAAAAATGGCACAGATGAAAAATTAAAATCTCCAACTAAACAAAACAAAAAGTTTGAAAAAACATAAACATATCAATTTCATGTCATGAAGAAATCATCATTCTCATCCTCATGAAACGGCCTGTAATTGAGCTCAATTGGTGGTAGATGATGAAGTGTGCGTTGCAAGAAATGTTCCGGCAATAGCATGCTTCTGTGGAGAGCAATAATCCTGAGCCTTCGTTCATAGAAATACCCTAAGTTCCTGGTTACCCTTACTAAAGCATGGCCACTCTCTGACCAAACAAAAAGGTGTGCCACCTCTATTTCCATGACATCCAAGGAATGCTGGATTTGGGAATAGTAAGCATGGCTCTCTTTTAATTCGAGCTTTCCTTGAGCATTTCGTCTCAGGTAGAATGCTGATTGTTGCTCTTTAGTAAGATAGTTTTCAAAGTGCTCGGGGTCTACAGCTGGATTTGCTATAACTTTTATTTCAAGTAATACTTGCTCCACGAAGGGTATTGTGACTAGTCCGTCTGGGCTGCAGGACAATGCAGGGTATTTGGCATTGGAGAAGGCACCAACTTCCATTACCGTCACTCCATTACCAACGACCTCAATATACTTTTGCCTTGCAATGTCCTCATGCTGAATACCATAGATCATGTTCGCATTCAGGAATAAGTCGAGGCCCCAAACATACTTCCTGAAAAATCTTATCTTAGATGAGTCCTTGCTAAGTCCGAGAAGTGTTTTTGAAGCTGATGCTGAGACGTGCCAAGAACGAACTTTCCTCCAGTTGGGGTTGTTGGCTTGCCCTCTGGTGTCAGGTAGTTCAAATGGCCCATTCAAATCTTTTTTGATCATATTCATTTCCCAAATTCTTCGGGAACATTTTTCACTTACAGAGTCTAACTTATCCATAATTGAATTCAGCTCTTCTTCTTCATCATTTTCCACCTCATTCTCATTGACCTGCTCATCAACCAAGTGATATAGCCACAGGCAATTTGGTAGTTTTTCCTTCAATTGATTTTTAAAAGTAGAAAGTTTTTCTTCAGATATTTCGCTGTGTTGGTATTTAGTTGGTCTCGGATCAAACGTTGCTCTCCTTTCAAAATATTTTGGATTTCCTCTATATTTTGCCTGCAATTTTATGAAATCTGGATTCTTACATGGTGCTTTTTTCAGCCACCAGCAAGGCCTACCTGTGGCAGTGATAGCTGCAAAATAAAACTAATTTTAGTATCTCAATTTGTTACAGGATGTGAAGGAGTTCAGAGACATTGGAATTCAGTGTGAAAGGCCCATGTTCTCCTATGAGCTGTGTAAGAGTAAGGGAGATAAGGACTTCCTCTTCTACACAGGCTTAACACCAGACGCATTTGAAATTCTGTACAACTTTCTTGGTGGGGATGAAGAGTGTGAATCGCTTAAGTACAATTTTTCAAGGAGTACTCCCAAAACAACAAGGGAATCTAAGTACAGCCAAAGGGACAAATTATTCATGACTCTCTTACGACTTAGAAGAGGCTTCACCGAAAAAGATATGGAAATAATGTTTGATCATGCAGGCACATATTTGGGGAAAATATGTTACACTTGGACAAGAAAATTAAGTTTAGATTTTAAGACTTTGCAGAAGTCCATTTTTGTAAGTGCTAACAATCAAAGCAAAAATCCCCCTGATTGCTACGCCCCTTTCCCTAATGTGAGATGTGTCATTGATTGTACTGAATTTAAAGTGCAGATACCTGACAATTTAGAACAGGCCAGCAATATGTTCTCAGCATACAAAGGTGGAGAAACAGTGAAGGTGTTAGTTGCTACATCTGTGTATGGTGGCCTTTGTTTTGTAAGTGAGGCTGCAGATGGCAGCATTTCAGACAGACAACTTTTACTGAAAAGTGGCCTCCTTGATTTCTTGAAGCCTGGGGATGCCATTATGGCTGACAAGGGTTTTGACATAGAGGCTGACTTGAATGAAAGGGGTATTGATTTGCTTATTCCTAGTTTTTTAGGCAATCGAAAGCAGTTTACCCAGAGAGAGCTAATGCTAAACAAGGCCATTGCAACTGCAAGAGTTCATGTTGAACGTTTCATTAAATATGTCAAAGATTTTAGGCTAGTAAGGTACCAGATACCAAACACATTGCTTGATATTGCATCAGATATGATACAGATTTGTTGTTATCTTGTGATGTTCAGAGACCCATTCATACAGTGGGATCACAACGCTGATGATAAGGACAAAGCAGGTGGTACATGAATAACCAGAAACTCCTTTGTGTGGGCGTGAGGATTTAGAAAGATCTTAGTTCGTCACTAGAAAGATTTGTTAAATATTTTATAGTTTATTGTTCCCTTTTATTGATAATTAGTACTCCCCACATTTGTATTGAGCTTTATAATAAGAAGATGTAAGTTTGGAACTAAATCTGGCACTAATTGCTGCAACTTTCTCATTCCTTTTTTTGTATGTTTAATCACCGTTTCCACTCACCTTCATTTCCATGTATTTCCACATGTTTTGCCACGAGGAGGAGGACAGCTGCTATGTGACCACAGCGTCTCAGAGCTGAAGCTTTGCAAGTGCACGAGGCGTCACATATATCTCCTGTCTGACAGCAAACTGTCGCTGTAACAAAATGCAGCTCTCCTCGAAATGATGCATGTACCTGCGACTTCAGGAAGTAGTGTTTTCCCTGTTTTGCGTCCGTCACAGTCAACACTCGTCCAGAACGTAGATATTTTCTTCCCCTACTTATACACATCACCAGAGCTCTTTTGCAAAGTTCGTAGAAAGTTGGTTTTTTATCTGGACATTCACTACTGAGGTCATCATCATCATCATCACTGTCCAAATTCTCAGACTCAGATTTCTCTAGCTCCATTAAAACGCCCTTATGCTTACTCAAAGTTACTTTTGGTATATTGCTGAAGTAATCCGTTAATTTATTTTCATTTAACATGTCTGGAATGTGGGAACCGGGAAATGTTTTCCAAACATTTAGTCCAAATGGTAATGGCGGCACATGCAGAGAATCAGCTGGCTTCTAGATAGAATTAATAAATATGTTACATTAAATTTAGTACTTCATTAGGAAATTGATTAAAAATACTTTTCATTCTAAGTGAGAGGAAATAATCTTTGAATAACATATAAGAAAATGAGGGAACTTACAGAAGCTTGTACTTTTCTGCGCTTTTGCTCGTGCAGCTTGCCACCATCCCATCCTGGGAAAATCCTATTTTCATTTCCCTCTTTAACACAATTTAAAATCCTGCAAACAAATAATACACATGTGCCATGCAGTCAAATCAAGTCTTTTCCATTAATTCTCAAAAGGTGTACCTGTTTACAAGATCTTCCTTTGACCCTTTTAGTTTCAGCCTTCTGATCCGGAGCCAGTGTTGCAATGCCTCAATCTTGTAGTCATTAATTCGATCCAAATCAAGAACACCCCCATCTATCTCACTTTGAGACAGTACTGGATCCTCAGCGTCTAAGTCAATAGTTGGATGTTGGCACTTGACTCCTTGAACCTAGACACAGTATCAAATGGCAATTAACTTTTATAGGGATATTTTTAGGTATTGGATAATTCAGCAATATGTAGCAACTGAAAAACAGAAATATGAGGACCCCCTGTAGGTCCTCATATTCCTTTCTCATACTACTGCAGGAGATGCAAGTCTATCCATGTTACTCCTGCAACCATCTGGGGAATATTTTGAAGAGTTAGTATTTTCAGTGACAGGTGGAGTAGCATTTAGCTGGACTTCCCCCAGAGAACTCTGAGGTATTGCTTTTCTATGGGAGCCAGCATCCTGCTGACTGCCTTGCTCCACAAGCAAATCAGAGGCTTTTGAAGAAGATCTGGCTCGGAATCTATGTTGAAGGACATCCTTCAAAGAACCATTAAGTTTATTCTTCTTTGAGAAGTCTTTGCTCTGCTGATTAATTACTGAGCTGGGGAACAGTCTTTTAGAATTGGCCTTTGAACTTGATTTTTTTAGATACTTTTCAGAAAATGTTGGAATTTTATCAAAAGGAAGGTTACTATTTTCTGATTTAGCTTTGTAAATTATGGCGTATGCCTTATCACAGGCAAGCCTTCTAGAAGCAATGGTGGAGACATAGGCGTCATCAAATTCTACCCACCTGCTCAAAATAAATAAATACAACAGACTGGGGAACCCTAATCTCAGAGATGTGCAATTCAAAACATATAAATAAGATTCCATTTTCTGGGTAATAAAATATACTGACCTTTGTTCTCTCTTGCAATGGGCAATGTAGTGTCCTCTTTCAAGACTTCCAGTATGAACAATAAGGCCAACAAGTTCATATTCCTCAGTCGATTGCAGTCCTTGCATTGCATAGGGCTTCATGTTCAGTTGTTCGCTGCAATTAATTTTTGTATCTACTTTCTTTTTCTCTGCACCAATTTGCTGGAATCTGCCATAGAAAAGAAACTTCAGAGGTCACTTGTTCACATGCTTTTGAGCACAAAGACCAAACAGGAAAATTTAAGTTACCTTTTAATATGTACTATTAAATAGGGAGGTAGACGACCTAACTTGTATTTAAGGGTAGTGCTACCCTCAACAGCACATAATGGGCATGGACCATCCACACTTTTATTTCCATTGCACAGTAAGTCAAGACACTCCTAGAGATGGGGAAAAATTTATAAAAAGAATGTTCTAAGAAGAAAGCCTCTTCTGAATTCATAATGACCATACCTCAATGTTCTCCCTCTTGCATGCTTTAGGAATGTCAAGAGATAAAATTAGCGAGGTGTCGCAAGTGACAGACTCATAGCTGCAGTATTGATTGCCACAAGTCCGGAAAGTGATAAGCTGGTGTCCTAAAAGACTTGTCACAGCTGAGTGAGCACTCCTTTCCCATGCGTTCAACACCTCCTCATGCGCTGACAGCTTGATGTTGGGATTTCTTACCACAAACTCTGACTCCTGGAAAAAAATTGCGTCAGAACTGATGCTCATAAACTCTGTCATGCAATACTTCGTGCATACCAGAACTTCAGCATGAATACGCCACAGTAAGAAAGACAAAAAATCCATGGCATCTTGTTGAGTGCCAGGATTATACTCCACCCAATACTTACGGATAACATGCTAAAAAAAGAAATTATACTTGTTTGATAATGTTGACGGAGAAAAATACAACAATGTAGCAGAGAACAAGGAACTCACCAGAAATGCATTAGGGGCAACAGAACTTTCACTCTTGCACATCTCTGCAAATAACATTGACAATGTTTCTGTTAAAGGTGTGAGCCGACTTATGACTTTATGATAGTTAGAAAGGAGAAGTTGTCGGAATTCTTCAATATTGTGTATACACTGCAGTGCTGCATTGAGGAAGCAAGTAAATCCTAAATTTTCCAGCCCCACATGACCAAGAATCTGGAAAAATAATACTTATGATGTAATTCATTCATACTTTCGCAATTAACAAGATTGAGAAAATAAATACTCACATTAGAGGTTCTGTAGTCGCCCATGATAAAGCATACTATTTAAATACTGAAAGCTACTGGACAACACTGAAATAGAGGTGGAAAACAGTGTAAGAAACACATCCTAACCGTTCTTTACGCCACAAAACAGCACTTAATTACCTTGAAAACCGCTTTTATAATTGTGAAATCACGTAAAAGTGATATATTTTGCCCGTCGGCACGGTACGTACACACGACTTGTTAATAAAATGTCTTAAAATACGTTAAAACACGTTCCGAAGAGTCAAAGAGCAATCAGGCGCGCGAAATACGTCTCCTAGGCGGTTTTTCGAAAGTCGTCTGCTAAACAAATGAATGTTTGTTATGTTCCTACCCCCACCACCCGCCGCGGCGGCCATCTTCCTTCTGTTCTTCTTTACGCGTAGGTCCTCCATATCAGAAGGATTTTTAATTGTTTTTAGCCCGCCCCTCTGCTTTGAAAAAGCTATCCAGCGGGCTCATGCAAACGACCTCGTGTCCGTCTGTGTGTCTGTGTGTCTGTCTGTCTGTCTGTCTGTTCGACTAGAAGGAGATGTGCTAGAGACTTGAAATTTTCAGGGTATCTTAAGGTCCACTTCTAGAGAACGAAACGCCTACGGCAAATCCTGGCAGCCACCCCTAAGGGTGTGAATGGGGGTATCCAAGGTTCAAAAATTCTTCCAAAAAGTATTTTTTTTATGTTCGCCGAAGGGGTAACTAGTTACAGTAGAGCCCGTTGGGCGAAAATTTCGTCCATTTTGCTCTATCTCTAACCGTTTAGGCGCTAGAGGGTCTTTTTTGACAAAAATAAGCTAAATATTGTCATAGTGAAAAATAAGTTGTAGTAAAAGGCCTAAAAACCGCAAAATAGAAAGGAAACTCTTCCCCCACCCCCAAAAAACGTTTTCTAATCAGAAGGGTGGGTTGTATTCACGGTGCTTCACCGTTACATCCCTTTCT